TATATATATATATATATATATATATATATATATATTTGAAAAATTAGATGAAAATGATATTTTCCGCAAATGTAATGTGAAATTAGGGGTGAAAATGCAAAAATAAAAAAATAAAGATAATGACATTTTGCACAATAACATTGAAAGGTAAGAATGTTTTGTGCTAATTACACCATTCAAAAAAATAAAAGTTAAGGACGTTTTGCACAATAATATTGAGAGTTATTGACATTTGGTGCTAATTACCATTTTAATAATTTATTTGGACTCATTTGTAGTTTTTAAAATGTTTGAGAATATAATTGCAAATTTGTGCTTTAATTTTCCTTTTATTTAAATATGAGAGTATATTGGTCATTTTATATTAAAAATTGGTGAAAATTATGTTTTTCACAATGAAACGTGAAAATATGGATGAAAATGCAAAGATTTGAAACGTAGGGATGTTTTACACACTAAAAACTAAACGTAAGGACATTTTTTGCTATTAAGCCATCAAAACAAGTCCAATGGAAACCTTGCCCAATTTGCAATACAAATCTTTTTATTTTAGCTAGTGTTCTAATAAGCTAGTGTTCTAATAGGCATGACGTCATGCCTAGGGTCTTAGCGATTAATTTAGCTGTCATCATTGACCAGCAAGCATTGATTTCTTAAAGCACACATTATTATTAAAATTTTTTTAATTACAATTCTTAATTTTAAAACTCAAGAGACTGATTTTTTCCTTCTCGTCTGCCATAGAGAGAGAAACAGCATCTTGATTGAAGCAAAAGTCACAAAACTTCCTCTCTTCAAAATCCAACATCCACTTTGGCAGACTTGAACGAAGCAAAAGTCCCCAAACTTCCTCTACTCCATGTCTAACATCCACTTCGGCACTTTCTACAGTAAGTTGGTGATATCTCCATCTCAATCTGCAAAAGAGACAAACCCACTATAAAGGGGAATAAATTTTTTTAGATTTGTTGAAGTTAGTGATTCAATTTCTGTCATATTTACAGAACTTGTAATTTTGTCTCCATTTCAGTCATATTTTCTTTTAGTACACCGAACCCCAATATTTATAAATTTTATATTGTTTCTATTTTCTTTGTAACCAATGGAAAAATATGATTCTTCAACATCTAAATCCAAAGCTAGTATCTAAAAAGAAATTCTAGAGATGTTGGATGGGGAATTTTGATTTTGGAAGATCCTAAAAATCCTTCTAATGTGAAATGCATGTTATGCAGTAAGGTTAGTAAGGCAGGAATTTATAGGCATAAAATTCATGCAGTAGGAATCAAGGGAAGAGGTGTGGCATCATGTCCTAGAGCAAGCGAAGAATAGAAAAGACATGTATGTTGACACGACCCGTCCCGAATCACCCTAATGGATTGAGAACAGGACGTGTGCCGATGATAGATACTAATTAGATGCCCAATCCATCACCAAGGCTGACTATGACTTACTACAAAATATGCGCTTTATGAAAAATATAATGCAATGGGCCTAAATTAATTTTTTTTATATACTTATCTCAATGAACATAAAAAATCTAAAATGGTCATGTGGCGATGACTCCTAAATCAACAAGCTCTTCAAAGCTCCCCAAACGCGATTGTTACCTGGTAAGAAAAAAGTGAAAAAAATATATGAGTTGATAATTCAGTAAGAAAAGAAGTTTGAACATAATTATACTTTCTCATTTACGCAATTTTATCGAAAATCGAGAGTACATCATTTAACCATTCAAAGTCTAAAATATTATTATTATAATAATAATAATAATAATAATAATAATAATAATAATAATAATAATAAACACCTCGTAACGCTGAAAAATATCATCTCATAGTGATGATATAATTATCAACTCAAATCCATGTCATCATCTCATAACATTACATGTAATCCACCAAAAATGTACCATCCGATTAAAATCTGTAATCTGCTCCTAAGGTTAAAAACTTTCGTCACAAGTCTTTGGGCCCCTCTATGAACAAAAGTGGTTTCAAGACCTTTGGTAATCAATTCTAGAACACGGCCAAGACCCCTCCATGAATTAGAAGAAATATATAATCATGGGTACTTTTTTGATCGATCTCAAAATCACATGTTATATTCCAATTCGTAATTAATCCATGTATAACCTTAATGATTTTACATATATCATAATGAAAGAACCTTTCATAAAAATCATGTATTCGTACATGAAATTCACAAAATTGCACAAAATCTAATAGTATAATTAATATATTAATTTTTCAAAAATTATATAAGTTTTTCTACTCACGGACATCTGATTAAATTGAATAGACTTTCCAAACTTTCACATCACCACTTGAAATAATGATATAATTACTCAAATTAAAACATGACCATTAACGTCACCATCGTGTAATTCCTTAACTTCTATATTTATTCATGCATCTCTATTTCCCTAACTTATTTGCTCTTTGATTATTAGCAACCAATCATCGCACATAATAAAATCCAATAGATTACTCAATACTTTCCTAAAATCACTACCTTACACCCACACAACCCCTATCCATGATTTAATCCAATAACTAGACTCCAAAATTTATCACTTAGCTTCATTCAAACTTATAAAATCTGAGAAAACAAAAGCTGGACAAAAACAGTACTAAATCCCAGACTATTGAAATTTGACACCAATCGAATCCATTGACAGAAATAGCACTTTCTGGGATGAATTTCAAAGATAGCACCTGCACATGAATTTTGCTTGAAAATTGATTATAAATACCAAAATCTAACCTAAAATCCTTTACCCACTCTAATTCCTCATAAATCAAGCCACTCTATTTCCTCATAAATCAAGTGTTTTATATCATATATCAAAGATTGATACTCTAATTTGCAAACCCATTTCATATTTCCTTACTTTCAACACTAATATTATTGTTGTTTTTAATGCCTCAAACATATATCAAAAATCATTAATTTTTGCTAAACCTTAAATTCCATAAACTCAAAAAGATAATTCAACATACTTACACCTACCTCTCTAGATCAGTGGAGAAATTGAAGAAATGGAGAATCCAAGCTTGAAAACCCACTTCCACTTCTTCTTCTTCTTCTTCTTCTTCTTCTTCTTCTTCTTCTTCTTCTTCTTCTTCTTCTTCTTCCTTCCTTTCTCACGTTTCTCGGTTCTTCTTCTCTGCTATCTATGTGTTCTTTTTTTTTTTCCGAAAATACGAAAATTAATGAGTCACTTATCCTTTAAGTGGTGAAGTGGATGACTATTACATAATTGCAAGTCAAGCCCCACCCTTCATAACATATAACCTCTAGTCCTTAAATTATATTGTTTCTTCTTCTTCTTCTTCTTCTTCCTTCCTTTCTCACGTTTCTCGGTTCTTCTTCTCTGCTATCTATGTGTTCTTTTTTTTTTTTCCGAAAATACGAAAATTAATGAGTCACTTATCCTTTAAGTGGTGAAGTGGATGACTATTACATAATTGCAAGTCAAGCCCCACCCTTCATAACATATAACCTCTAGTCCTTAAATTATATTGATAGAAAATTTAAACTTTGAATTCTTATTTGGTATCATTTTTGAACTCTTAAGTATTAGTATTTACAAATTAAGTCCCATAAAGTTGTTTTTTCTACTGAAGTCCTTATTTGACTTTGACTAAATAATTCCTTGATTTTGACCATAAAAGAGCGGGATGTAACATATATTGAGGCAATTCAAGGGTCCAAGTTTTAAAAAAATAGAGAAGCTATTGAATAATGCTAAGTTGAGGGAAGACATGGGTATATCTTTGCCTACAATAGAGGAGGAGGAAGAAGAAGATGAAGTTTCTATTATGAGGGACTAGGAAAAGGCCTATTAATGTGGGACCTGTAGATCAATTTGTGAGGTCTATCAATGTCAATGAGGCTTCTATGAGTGCAAGTAAGAAATTGAGACACCAAAATATGAATGATGCAATTTCTAAGAAAAGGTTATTAGAGGTTCACTGATATTTGGCAAGATGGGTTTATGAAACCTTCCTCTTACTGCCATTAACAATGATAGTTTGAAACTATCTGTGGAAGCTCTTGGTTAATATGGCTGGGTTACATTCCTCATTCCCAATACCAATTAAGAGAGATGTGGAAAGGACAAAAGAAACTTTAAAAAATCAAGAAGAAGAGTGGAAAAAATCATGGGTGTTCAATCATAACCGATGCTTGGAGCGATAAAAAAAGAAGCAGCAGCATCATGAATTTGTGTGACTTGTGTACCACATTTATTTTATCAAAGAGAGCTTCAAATGGAGCTCATACTGGTCAATATATATTTGACTATGTTAGTGAATGTATTAAAGTTGTTGGGGTTCAAAATGTGGTTCAAATTGTAACCGACAATGCTTCCAATAATATGGGCATCACAAAATGGTTGGAATTAAAAAGGCCTAACATGTTTTGGACATCATGTGCCTCTCACACTTTAAACCATATGCTTGAAGGAATCTCTAAACTTTCTATCTTCAAGGGAATGATTAACAAGGCAAAACCATTCACTATCTTCATTTATGCACATCACAAAACATTGGCATTGATGAGAAAGTTCACAAGAAAAAATAAAAAATAAAAGAGAGAGAGAGAGAGATAGGCTAGAAGTGACTAGATTTGCATCATCTTTCTTAACATTTCGAAGTTTACTTGATAAAAAATAAGACTTGATAAATATGATGACTAAAAATGAATGGGATAAAATGAAATGGTCCAGGCGTAAAAAGGGAAAAGAAGCATTTGATATTGTTGTTCCAAATGATTTTTGGAACATGATAGATTTGTGTTTGAGGGTATTCACTCCACTCGTGAAAGTGTTTAGGCCTCTTGATGGAGAAAAAAAGCCTTCAATAGGCTTTATCTATGGAGAGCTACTAAAGGAAAGATGTCATTAAAATGACGTTGAAGGGGGAGTGTAATTATAGGCCAATCTTAGAGATTATTGATGCCAAAAGCAAGATTGACTTGATAGTCCACTTCATACAACGGCTTATTTTTTGAATCTTTTCTATTTTTATCAAGAATCCATGTATCAAAGCTGATCCATTGATGATAAATAATGTGATTGCTTGTGTTGAGAAATTCTTTCGTAATATTCAAATGGAACATCATGTTATAAATATTGAGTTGAAAAGATTTGTCCAAAAAGAAGGTTCATTTGGAAGAAAGCTTGCACTAAGTGGATGTAAGAACAATGATGAAAATTACAATCCAAGATAGGACTCATGTGGCTCACAGCTGGTTCTCCATCTATGAGCATGACCACAAGGAGGTAAAGAACAAACCTTTATCGAGTTGTCAAAACCATATGAATATAATATGAAATGTCTAGAAAATAATCTTCCAAATTGTGTTTAACACAATGAAAATCACTTCCTTTTATAGAGATAAATTCCATCCCCCACAATTAATCCAAAATTATGAATTTTAAATTTTGTAACTAAGCTTGAATATTAAAAAGGAAAACTGAAAATTATTAGGTTTTAATTTTGAAAGGTTGAAACTTATTTTATGTAACAACAATCTCCCACATGTTTTAAACTTTCAAATAGATAAATATAAATAATAGTGGCAACATAATACTAATAAGTACACGAATATTTTGAACTTGAATCTCACTTAGTGATAATAATTTAAATTTGAGAGACCCATAATATACTAATCCTTGAATCAGGTCCCTATAGCCAAGCTTCAATTGCTACACACACAATATCGATTTAAGCTATAGTTTATAGCGCGTAGCACTATTAATGGCGATGAGCTCTAATCTTTATTCTAGTAATAGTATCTAAAGAATAACTTATTCCCATAGCCATAGCGTCGTGACAACTCTTACATAGGTGAATCTTCTTAGGGTGAATGTAACCTATACCTCATGAGAATTCTCGTCTCGGTATTCATTCAAGGTTAAACCTTCCTAACGTCAAATTATTGTTAGCACTATCACCATATGGATGAGTACAGATAAAATATTGGTATTACAAGCCACACATAGTGTCTGTTATTTCTGTCACATTGAACTTTCTTCGTGGGATCTCAAATCACAAAGGTTGGGTTACTTTTTTCTAGTGTGGTTTGCTTTGATCATACCGTGAGACCCTGGTCTCCAACGAGGCTATCTTGTCAACACCTATGGTTGGTGATCTTGGATAGCATAAATGAATAAAGCCAATTTGCCATGGTTAAAAATAGGGGAAAGGATACAGACTAAGGTGGTGACAAATGATTGGGTGTTTTTTGCTTTAATTTTTCAAACTGTCCAATTGCGGGTGACATGTGTCATCCCTATTTTTTAGCCTATTTTTCACCCTAGATGTGTAGCACAGTTGAGCATAAATTGGAATCAATATGTATTGGTTATCCTCTGACCTAGGTTGTCTTGCGATTGGTGGATTTAGATGGAGTGTATTGTCCACTAGGGAAAAAAAGCCATCTTAGTTGCAATGTCTGCCTATTTGACAAACATTGACAAGATGGGTTTGTTTTGGCCTCAAGAATGGCAAGACAAGTGCATCAATTCCTACTTTGGGAAGTTTTTAGAACTTGATAATTGATTTTGTAGGACAATTTCAATGTTTTGATCTACCACAATATTTAATCTTGATATTACAATTTATTCTGATCCTTATATGACCCTATCAAGTTATCAAAAGTAGGTCTAGGCATCACCATGCAGTTGTGAACGCTAGCTCTATGGTAAATGGTACAAACAACTTCTCCCACGGCCTATTCTGTAGTGCAACTTGATTTGGACCTTAATCTTTTCTCTGCAAATTGATAAGTGCATATTATGTTCTTCTTTGGGGCCTTTATTCTTAATTATTTAATGATATGTTGAGAGGATATTTGCTTAATTTTGTGTAAAATATTTTAATTGTATGATAACTCCGACTTAGATATAATTGAGCATGAAAGGAGGGAAATTTTGAGCTAATTCATAGTTGGTTTCCAAGCAATTAAAGACTAATCGAATAGCACAAAACTTATTATAAGTAAAAAGAGAGTTATCTATAATATATTAAAATATCACATCAAGGGAGAATCATTTTTTGACAATTTTAACCCCCTACAATTCAATTATTTCAATAATACCTTACATTTCATTTTTCGATATGTAATAAATACTACATAATTATTGTCATTTATGAAATTTTTTTATTAATTTTCAATTAATTAATATACACATTAACCTAAATTCAATGAATTTTCACTTAATGAATCTTGAATTACATGAACTTAAAGTTATTAAAGATAAATTTATTCATATTCATGTATATGAAAATTTTAATGGGTGTTTAAATTTATGTGTTAACAATTAATTTTTATGTATCAAATGTAATATAAAAAGATTGCTCATTATAGTATTTGACCATTGCAACAAACTTGAATCAGAGAAAATTGAGTTTTGAGAGTACTGTTTGAATATAATTTTCTTCTTTTAAATTTTTATGCTAAATTTTATTTTCTTCAATTTGTCATAGACTCATCAAATCCTTCAACAAATTGGTATCAAATATTAGTTTTACATCACTTATAAAGTATTTTAGAATAACGTGCAATGCACGTTCAACTTTGACTAGTTTAAAGAAAATTACAAGTTTCAGGGGTTAAATTCAACATTTTGAAAATTCGGAAACTAAATTGCAAGCTTTCAATAGTTGATACAGACTAATTTCTAATGATTATTAAATTTTGGGGACCAACATTGAAGATGTTGAAAGTTTCGACTTCAAAATAGAATTTTAGGATTAAAAAAAAGACCAAAGTTGTATGAAAACTTGAAGGAAAAAATGACTAAGGCTATATGAAAAAGGTTGAATTGGAGACCACTTGAATGAATCTGGAAGAGGAAAAATAAAATCTTGCAATTCAACCTTTTCTTAAAAAGCAATAAAGGCACAGTTGTTCACATAATCTTGGGGCCTATAAATATACACCTTCATCCAAAAACTAAAAAGTGGTTCTTGGGGATTCAATAGAAATATCATTCAATTCCCAAGGAAAGAAAAATCAAGGAAATCATTCAAGAAGCTAGGATTTCATGAATTTTACAAGAAGAATGTGGATTCTTGATGCAAGATCTTCATCTTTTCTTGTTCTTCCTTAAAAACCAATGATTTACACCAATTTTTTCTTGTAATCTTCTTCTTTCATGTTGCGCAAATAAAT